GACACCACCCCCCCCCAAAATGATTTTCTTAATAACATTTTATTTTCTTTAGCTTACTTTGTTGAAACAACATAGTATACACTACACATAACATATAAAATATGTGTTGATCAACTGTTTCTGTTATTGGTAAGGTTTCCAGTCAGCAGTAAGCTGTTAGTAGTTAAGTGTTTGGTATACGTGCTGCCAAAGCTAGCACAGTAGTTAAGTGTTTTAGGAGTGAAAGTTATACAGTGGATTTTCAACTCTGCCGGGTGGGGGTGGGGTCGGTGTCCCTCACCCATGTGTTGTTTAAGGGTCAACTGTAGACACTTTTTACAACAAATAGCTGTTTTAAAAGCAGTTGTTCTTGTTATATATGGATGTTTAAGCTTTGGATAAAAAAGAAAAGGGATTTTTAACAAGTCCTTTGATTATTATGGAATCTTTTTTTTTTCTTTTTCAGTTCTAGTTCCCTTTCTAGACTTATGAAAGCCAACTACAAGGACACAGCATGTCTTTCTTTTACCTCTCTGATTTGTCTGATGATTTGCATTTCTACCTCAGCACAATGGACCATGTTAAAGGTCTTCTAGCCATTTTCCATGAGAGGGCAATGGGTCATAATTGGGAGATTTTAGGTTTGTAAATGAAGTGTTTTTTAACATTCCCTGTGACTTTTCAATGTTAAATATTGAGAATTATTTAATGTTTGAATACTCCACTCAAATTTTCATATTTTTTAAATTTTTGGTTCTGATTATGGTAGAGATTTAATATCATTACTGAGTTCTGTTCCATATTAACATATTTAGGTTGTATCAGTCATAATAAATGATACACATAAAATATGCTGGATGGCGGACCATTTCAAATTGCAGTGGCTTATTACAACAAAATTTTATTTCCTCCAATTGAGTATGAATATGCAAAAAAGATTAGACCCATACCTCATAGTGTATACAAAAACTAACTCAAATGAATCATAAACTATGTAAGAGCAAACGTATAAAACTTCTAGAAAAAACACAATAGAAAATGTTTGTGATCTTGGGTCAGGCAGAGAGTTCTAAGATGTAACATCTAAAGCATATGGCATTTAAAAAAAGATAAATTGGATTTATCTTTTGATAAATCCAAAACTTTTGAGCTTCAAAAACACCATTAAGAAAATGAAAAGACCTGGGACGCCTGGGTGGCTCAGTTGGTTAAGCAGCTGCCTTCAGCTCAGGTTATGATCCCAGCGTCCTGGGATCGAGTCCCACATCGGGCTCCTTGTTCATCAGGGAGCCTGCTTCTCCCTCTGCCTCTGCCTGCCATTCTGTCTGCCTGTGCTCACTCTCTCTCCCCCTCTCTCTCGAAAAAATAAAAAAATAAAATCTTTAAAAAAAAAAAAAAGAAAATGAAAAGACCAGCCATAGAGTGGAAACAAATATTTGCAAATCATGTATCTGGTAAAGGACTTGTATCCAGGATATGTAAAGAGCTTATAACTTGATAATAACTGGACAAACAGTCCAGTTAAAAAATGGGTAAAAGATCTGAGTGTGTGCTTTACCAAAGATATAAGAATAGCCAGCTAATGAGCACATGAAAAGATGCTAAATATCGTTAGCCATTAGGGAAATAAAAACTGAAACCACAATGAGAAACCAGTTCACTCCCACTGGAGACAATAGTTCTTTGATTCTTTGTATAAATAGAAACATAACCAAAAAAAAAAAAGATGACATTCATTCCGTATTTATGGAGAAAAGGAGGGAGAGAGGGAGAGAGAGAGAGAGAAGGGGGACTCTGAGTTCTATTAGCAAAGGATGAGAGAGACTCTGAAAGGAATCTTCCAAGAGGTAGGATAATCATACATTTGACTGGGGAATGGTTTTGCTAGGTTGAAGATAGTACAGTTAGGTCATGGTAGAAAGTTAAATAACTTAACCTTCAATTTAAATAAGACAGACAATACCAAGTATTGATGAGGATATGGAGAAGTTGAAACCCTCATGCATTGCTTACATGTTATCTCAAAAAGTTAAACATAATATATCATACAACATAACAATTCCATTTCTAGGAGACTATCCAAGAAAAAGAAAAACAAGTATCTACACAAAGACTTGTACACAAATTTTCACAGCAGCATTACTGATAATAGCCAAAAATTGGAAATAATTGAAATGTGCATCAACTGGTGAAAGGATAAAGCAAGATATATTACATTCATGCAATGGAATACTATTCAGCAATACAAAAGGAAGAACTACAGACATGTGGTATAACAGTGATGGACCTCAAAACGTTGTGATGAGTGAAACAAGCCAGATCAATAGACTACATATTGTAGGAGTCCATTTATATAAAAAGGCTAGAAAGACAAACCTGCGGAGATACATTGTCTGGGATTGGGAATAAGAATAGTGATTGATTACAAATGGGAAAAATGGATATTTTTTGGGTGGTAGAAATGTTTTAAAACTTACCGTGCTGGTGGTTGCACAACTCTAGTTTCTGCTTATTGTCGTCATTTAGGGACCTGAAGTGACAGATGTTCTATTTTAATACATGGTTCCATTATCACCACAACAGAGGGAAAGATAATGTGCCTCTGCCCCTTAAAGCTTTTCCTGGGAAATGATACACATCCCTCTCCTCCCATTTTATTGGTAAAAAGGAGATACATGGCCATGACTACCTTCAAGGATGCAAGAAGTGTAATTGTACTGTGTCTGGAAGAGAGGAGAACCAGAACAGTCCTAACGACTATGATATAAATAAATAACAAGAGTAAATTGTACCGTTTACTCTGACTGGAGTTATTTTGCTTTTATTTCTGAGACACTTGACACATTTCTTTTTGAAGTCCTACTCCAAGACTTTTGGCAGAAGTCTGGAAGATGGCAGAAGAGGATCCTAGGCTCACCTTGTCCCACCGATACACCTAGATAATACCCACATCTATGTAAAGTCCTAATCTATTGCATGTTGCTTAGTTGAAATTTCTAAGTCCCCAGTTATGGGTACTCTTTATATTATACCGTGACTCCCTCAGTGACTTCGATACCCTGAGCACCTGGTTTCCTTAAATTAAATTGATGCACTTTAGAAAAACGACAAGCTTTTTCTTTCTTTTTTTTTTAAACCTTCATTAAATTTATTATATTAATTATTATCATTTATTTTACAAAAGGTTTTTATTATTTGACACTTAATTTTAAATAGCACATGACATTTTTTTTTATTTTTTATAAACATATAATATATTTTTATCCCCAGGGGTCTTTTTTTTAAAATAGGCATCATTGCTTCTGTAATGTATAAGGGATTAGAATAGTTTCCTGTGGCTAAAGAGGCCAAAATTTGGACCAGTAAATGGGAAACATAAGAAAGCAGATTAATAGGGGCACCTGGGTGGCTCAGGGGGTTAAAGCCTCTGCCTTCGGCTCAGGTCATGATCCCAGGGTCCTGGGATCCAGCCCCGCATGGGGGGTGGGGGGAGGTCTCTTCTCAGCGGGGAGCCTGCTTCCCTTCCTTTCTCTCTGCCTGCCTCTCTGCCTACTTGTGATCTCTGTCAAATAAATAAATAAAAATCTTAAAAAAAAAGAAGGCAGATTATACATTTATAGATGGAAGAATTTTCTAATTACTAGGATTGATGAAATTGAAATGACTGTCTCTGAGCAACTGAACTACTGAAGATGTTTAAGTTGTGGCTTGATGACCCCTTGAGAGAAACACTGAGAACTTAGACCAAATGTTCTCCAGAACTTATGTTCTATGATTAGGCTTTGCTGCACAGCAAATATAACCATTTGTGTAATATCTTTATTCATTTGTGAACTGTATCTACTTTTTTTAAGTCAAAACTCTTCTCAACCAAAAGTGTTAAGGGCATGGAAGAGGAATTTATGAGAAACTACTTTATAATAGAATTCAGAGAAAGTGAAACTTAAAAGGTAGCAGATAGAGGCTGTATTAAGACAGACTTAAATTTGATTAGAATTATTAGGAGAAGCAAAGGAGTGAAAAGTATGACTAAAATATTTAAAATGTTGAATGGTTTGGATAGAACAAATATTTATTTGCCAAATCCTGAGATTATGGGACGGAGAATCGTTTTTGAAATGTGAGCAAAGTGAGTTTAGGCCCAGTTCTCTTCTGAGAGAAAAGAAACCTGTATTAATTTATCCTTGTATTAATTATCCCTGTTATATGAGACAAAAACATAATTTTAAAATTAAAAAAAAATATTTTGACAAAATTCTAAACAAAGGTACCCCAGGTGGCTACTAGGAGGAGTTGGGTTGTAACTAAGCATGCCCTTCCAGCTTGTCACATGGACTTCCGGTCGGCAGCAGAATATTGGCAGGCTAAGGGTTTGCCCTAATATGAGAAAAGTTCTGTATTCCTAAAATAAATCACTTTACACGGTATTATTCTCAGATTTCATCACAATTAGGAATGATTGCAAAGCAGGTACACAGAAACACTTTCACTGTCAAGGAAAAAAAAAATTCCGAAAATCTTCTACGCAAGGCGCTCCTGGTAAGGAATTTGGGACTGGACAATAATCGCAGAGCAAAATTTAATTCTGACATCCAGGGTCTCCTCGGTGAAGGAAATTCGAACAGCAGGCCTCCAGGTAAAGATAGAAGAAACGTGCTTTATCTAAGATAATGAAAGTAAGTCGGCAAGACCAGATATAGAGAGCACTGTCGCATTTTCCCGGAAATAAAAAATGCACAACGCAAACTGGACACGACACTTTCCTTTATAAGAGAAACAGCAGTAACACAGTATAAGGACAGGAACGCAGCGATCACTATTGTGTTAGCGCCGGCGGCGGAAGGACTTAGTCCCACCGCTACGTGAAAGAGTCCTTCTTTGTTCAGCCTCGGCCAGGGACGCAGAGCGCGGTGTTCTTCCGCGCTTGCTGCACAGTCCCCGCCCACTCGCTGCCCTGGAGAGCTGCCATTCGGCACCGGAGTCGCTCCGCGCTCCCAGAATGCACCGGCGGTCCGCGGGAAACCAAAATGGCGAAGGGCTGTAAAGAAGTGGGCTGTGTTTGAGGCCGGTGTAAGAAGGCTCACTCTACTCTCAACCCTCGTCCCCAGGACCTCGGTTTGCGCGTGTGCATGTGCGGGGTGCCCGGTGGGGCGGGTGCGCAGTAAGTGCTTGGACTCGCAGGGGAAGCGCCCAAGGGGACGTGATTGGTTGTTTTTTCCTGTATGAAGCGGTTGGCACCACTGAAGTGACCGAATGAGGTGAGAGACCTTGGCCTGGGAACCACGCTCTTCGGGGGGGGGGGGGGGGGGGGGGGGAGAAGGAAGAAAGGAAGCAAGTATAAAAGGGAAAGATGGAGGATCGAAGTGGGAGTGGGATCTCCAGTGTGTGTATGTGGGTCCCTTGCATTTATGTATATGTTGAAAAGGATGGATAGAATGGTGTGGTCATTTAGGTGTTGGATAAAATAGGGAACGAGCAAGGCATTGGGGAAGTCGGTTGGAGGACCATGATGAAACGTTGAGACGGGGAAGCTGTGTTTGGAGGGGCAGGAAGGAACCTGGGGGCGGGAGACGGTTGGAGGGGCAGGATGAACCTGGTGATGAGGGGGTGGGGAACCGAGGGGAGGAGCCGTTAGGAAATGCGGACTGAGGGAGACGTGGGGAGCTGAATGAAGGTGCTGCCTGGGACCTTAGGGGGCGCAAAGGGAAGTAGCAGCTTGGAACCGGAGGGTGGTGGAATTGTATGGAATTGGAGTAAGGGGCTGAGTAGAAGGGCAGGATGGAGTACGTGGGTAAGGGAAACACTAAGTTGAGCCTGGAAGCAAACCCTGAAAGCTTTAAAGGGGAGAAAGGGGAGGGAAAATGTGAGATGGGAGAGAGACACCTAATATTTGGAGCGGACAATGAAATCTAACTCATCCCTCCTCGGATGTAGTTATGTATTATTCATTTTTACAACTGAGGTAATTACGGTTCAAGGGATTTTAACTGATTTGCCAAGATTTCTTAACATATTTTGGTAGTGCCAGAACTCTTAACTCTGTGTGTTTTACAATCTGGTGTCTTTGGTTGCTAGAATTTTTTTTTTTTTTTTTTTTTTTTTGGGAAGCAACTAGAGGGAACAGATGGATTTATCGGGGTGATTTGACGAACAGAGAGGGTTCGTGAACAATGGAAAAGGGATATGGAATGTTATTCTATTCTTTAAAACATTTAACTTACGTTAAAGTTAGACCCATTTACAAATAAAAATATGCAGACCTAGGTAGGCCTGTGTATAACGTCAGAAAGTACCGTATGAGGTCAGTACAGAACTAGAAATATGTAAATAGTGCCTGATTTAATTTGACTTCAGATGCTGCTGTAGTAGTAACTTTCTCCTTCAGCATTGATTCCATGTGACCCTTCTGTATAGGTTGCTTACACGATGGTTTCAATTTCCATGTTTTCATTTTCTCTTGAGAATTCCTTTTTTGTGTTGTTTTGTTTTGGGCAGTAGATTGCAAAGACTGAATCTGAAGTATTTTATAAGGGTAAAGTAAAATGTACTTACATTCTTAAGTGACCTTTGCAAAGGCTTGAAAATGCTTTACATGGAGCCATTTTGACGAACAGCTTTAGGTGCCCAGTAATTTTGGCAGGGAAAGAGTTGATTTTAAATTTCTTAACATAGAACATTTCATTCTTGATATTTAGAATGTTATTGACACTCCAACCATTTGCAGTTATAGCTTGAGAGGGAATACAAGGTGAAATTGTTTTTGTTTTTTTAGGTTCCTAAATATAAAAGCATATTCGAAATCACATTTTAAGTTTGCTCACCTTCAGGTTTTTTTTTAAGTGCTAAAAATATTCTAAAATATTTGAATTAAGAGTGCACCTGTTTCCTGATGCTGCATATTCATGTTAATGGCATTAACGGAAATCTATACCTACCTATCAGGATGAAATACACAATTTTAGAACTAGAAGTATAGAAATCATCCAGTTAAACTTTTTTCTGGATGAAACAAAATATATTTAGTGATGTTTTTAATTATGCTGGTTGCCGCAAAGCTCAGTTTGGAAAGGGATTTTATTCTGTGTATTTTGGTGTGGGTCATAAATTTTTTGATGTCGTTGATTTATAAATACACCTTTCATTAGATCTTGACTGAAAGGGTAATTTGCTTTATTCTTATTTCAGCATAATCTTTATATCTGGCTTTAGGAAACTGGTGATATAGTAATAATCTCTTTTAACAGATAGGGAAATTTGCCCCTGAGATGTTGTCATGGCCAATATCTGTAGCTGGGTGGTTCTGGAAGTAAAATTGAACTGCTGTTTTAGTTAGTCTGGATTTCCATGAATAATATTCTTTGGTTGATATTTTTATGCTTTGTTTTCCTTGTTTTTCAGAATTTGTTTATTGCAGTAAAATGCAGTATAACAACCCTAAATTAGAATGTATAAATTTCTGTGTGGGTATTTTTTATGTATTGGTTTAGTGCTGTTCAATAGAATTTTCTGCACTGATGGCAGTGTACTGTATCTCCTCTATCCACTCTGGTAGCCAAAGCTGCATGTGGATGTTGAATACTTGACATATAGCTGGTGTGACTGAGAACTGGATTTTAATTCAACTAATTAGAACTAAATTTTAAATGGTCATATATAGCTAGTGGCTGCTGTATTAGACAGCATAGTATTAGGGGTTATTGCATTTATTTATTAAGAATTGTCACATCTAGGGGTGCCTGGTTGGCTCAGTAGGTTACTCCTCTGCCTTTGGCTCAGGTCATGATCTCAGGGACCTGGGATCGACCCCCCACCCCACGATCCCCTCCTGCCTCTCTGTGTACTTGGTGATCTTTCTCTCTTTGTCAAATTAAAAAAAAAAAAAAAGTTGTCACATCTAATAATCATGGAAACCACAGCAACCCAGGGGTAAGGAACTATCTTGGAACTAAGGATTGAAATTCTCTTTGTACATTTTTAAGGTAAAGTATTCTTCATTTTTGCCTCACACCTAGTTTTCTGTCCTATCTCTACAAAAGAATGAAGAAGGTAGCAACTTCTCTGATCTTTTATTATTTTTTTTAAGATTTTATTTATTTACTTGCAAGTGAGCATGGTGGGGGGAAGATGTGATGGGGGGGACAAGGGGGGAGAGAGGGACAAGCAGACTCCCCACAGAGCGCAGAGAGACAGAGAGACAGAGAGAGAGGGAGAAGCAGACTCCCCACTGAGCGCAGAGCCCCACTCAGGGCTCCCTACCAGGACCCTGATCATGACCTGAGCCGAGTCAGAGGTGTAAATGACTGAGCCATCCAGGTGCCCCTTCTCTGATCTTTTAATATATGATTCTGTTTCCTTTGTCAAACAACAACAGAAATCGATGTTAAGAAAGTTAGTTTACATTTTTTTTTTTTTTTTAAGATTTTATTTGTTTATTTGACAGAGATCACAAGTAGGCAAAGAGGCAGGCAGAGAGAGAGAGGGGGAAGCAGGCTCCTTGCCGAGCAGAGAGCCCGATGCAGGGCTCAGTCCCAGGACCCTGAGATCATGACCTGAGCCAAAGGCAGAGGCTTAACCCACTGAGCCACCCAGGCGCCCCTACATTGTTATTTTTAAAAAATTACTTGTTTTTTTAGTATATCAGTTAAACTTTTTATTAAGGAAAATTTAGAAGTCACGTACTAAGGGAACAGAATAAACTTTTTTGTATCCATGCTTGTTTCATCTATATCTCTATGCACTCTCCACTCCTCTCTGTTGTTTTTGCTATTTTAAAAAGCTTTTTAAGGTAAAATTTACATATATTAACTGTATACTTTGTAAATAACTTTATTGAGGTAATTCATCTATCATTTATATATATATATATAACTCACTTGTTTGTACCGTTTTAAGGTACAATTTACTGATTTTTTTTTTTGTATATTCACAGTTGTGCAACCATCACCATTATCTAATTTCAGGACATTTTCATCAGCCCAAAATGAAAATCTAACCATTAGCAGTCACTTTTCCATTATTCCCTCCCACTACCCCAGGCAACCTCTAACCAATCTTCTGTGTTTATATTTTGCCTATCCTGGACATTTCATGTAAATGGAACCATATAATACGTGGCCTTTTGTGTCTGGCTTCTTTGACCTAGCATAACGTTTTCAGGTACATCCATGTTATAGCATGTATCATTCCTTTTTAAGGCCAAAATATGTTTCTTTGTATGGATATATATTTCATTTTGTTAATCTATTTATCAGTTGTTGGGCATTTGGTTTTTTCCACTTTTTGCAGTTAATAGTTTTTTATTTGCAGTGAATGTTCATTTACAGGATTTGTGTGGACATGTGGTTCATTTCTCTTGGGTACATACCTAGGAGTGGAATTGCTGGGTCAGGTGACACCTCTGTATTTAACATTTCAAGAAACTGCTGAACTGTTTTCCAAAGAGCCTACACCTTTTTGCAGTCTCACCAGCAGCTCTGAGGGTTCCAGTTTCTCTACATCCTTACCAGTACTTGTCTGTCTTTTGGTTATAAGCATTCTAGTGGGTGTGCAGTTGTATCTCATTGTGGTTTTGGTTTGCATTATCCTGATGACTAATGATGCTGAGCACCTTTTCCATGTAGTTATTGGCCTTTTTTATACCTATGGAGAATGGTCTATTCAGGTCCTTTGCCCATTTAAAAAATTGGATTATTTATGTTTTCATTGTTGAGTTGTAAGCATTGTTTATGTGGTTTGGATAGAAGTCCTTTATCAGATGTGTGGTTTGCAACTTTTTTTCTCCTGTTCTTCAAGTTCTTTCATTTGATGATGTCTTGTGATGCACAGAAGGCTTTAATTTTGATGAAGTCTAATTTATCCTTTTTTTGGTTATGCTTTGCCTTTTTTTTTTTTTAAGGTTTTATTTATTTATTTGACAGAGAGAGCAAAAGCCGGGGGAGCACCAGGCAGAGGGGGAAGGAGAGGCAGGCTCCCTGCTGAGCAGGGAGCTGGATGCGGATGTGGGGCTTATGCTTTTGATGTTATATCTAAGAAAATGTTGCCTAACACAGGGTAACACAGATTTACTCCTATGTTTTTTTCTAAGAATTACGTAATTTTAGGGATGCCTGGGTGGCTCAGTTGGTTGAGTGTCTGCCTACGGCTGGGGTCATGATCCTGCCAGGATCTTGGGATTGAGCCCTGCATTGGGATCCCTGCTTAGTGGGGAGCCTGCTTTTCCCTCTGTTCTCTGCCTCTCCCTCTAATTTGTGCGCTCTCT